CGGTTTTTCACTGTGTGAAAAGAATACAGACACTGGGGCTAGCAGGTGGCATGGTGGTTAAGGGTGCTGGATTCCCACATGGCCGATGGTGGTTTGCATCCCGGACCTCGGTGCTTGCTTTCTCACTTTCTCTTTCTCTCTCTTTCTTTCACTCTGTCCCTCTCTGGTCAGATTTAAATAAATAAGTAAATAAAGTTCAATAAAATAATTCCTTTTTTTTTTTTTGGAGAGGTTTTTTCACTATAGGGTGCGTGCACTCGCCAGACAAACAGAGAGAGACATAGAGACAGAAAGCGAGAAATCACCCCACAGGGGGGATGGCCATGCCGCAATCCCTTCTCCTCCATTCTTCTCTCGGGATCTTGGGCACACACGCACACGCGCCTGGCATGAGATTTAAACCACCGGGTCTGGGACGCGAACCGCGGTTGACTACATGGGAGACCAGCAACATAGCCATTACGCTAACTGCTGGTTCCCAATAAAATAATTCTTAAAAAAAAAAAAATCCAGATACCTTGCCTTACCTTCAGACGTCTTAATCTGATCAGCCAAGGGTGTGGCTGTGCACTCCCGGGAGATTCTAATGCACGGCCAGAATTGAACATCGCTGATCTATATTCTTGGTTGAATAGTTTCCTAAGCAAAATTTGAGATTTGCACATGAGTGTGCATATGTGCACACGCATGTACACATGTGAAATGTCTTAGCACATAAATGTACTCAGCAGCGTAGCGACCAGCTGAGAGTGGTGGGGATTCACGCTCGTTCTTGTACTAATTCAGGAACGTGGAAGCGGTACAAGCACATACGTCCATGCTGTCTCAATTAGTCCCTGCTGGTTGTTCTCGTCACATAGTCAAGAAGTGATGCCAAGTGTCTGGGATTCCAGCCCACTTCATTCCTTGTTGGCCTCACAGGGATGAAAATAACAGGTAAGGTGGCCTGTAACCCCACCCCACATTCACATGCCGGAGGAAATTAATCCTGGTCTCACCAGCACTTTACATATATGATATCCCCTCATCCTCTTCAGACAGAGCAGTTTTCTTGGTTTTAGAGAGAGAAAATCTGAGACTCAAGAGAAATCGAGCGACTTGTTCAAGAAGATACAACTAGAAAGTGGTGGCCGCCGATATTTTATACTAAACCTTTTGACCTCAAATTTCTTCTCGTTTTATTTACTCCACGTCGTGCATCCACACTGAGTACCAAACTATCCTTCTGTGGTGCCCAGGCACTGGGGTGTGATAGAAGGGGACACACACTTTGGGAATCAGGAGTGAAAAGAATGGGGCTGACAGGTGTTGGTCCTCTCTTTACGCCCCACAGAGGTCAACCTGAAGACGGTGCTGCCTTAGAAAGAAGGAAGTAACCTTGATAAGGGGAGGAGACACGAGCCTTGCCCAGGCCCCGTGGGACGTCAGCAATAAGCAAGCCAGCGCTGGCCTTAGTCACCTCCGTCCTGAACAGCACAGCCTGAGTATTCCGCATTTCTTATTTTCTGAAGTCAATGATACTGTTACTAAAAAGAAAGTCTTCCAAGTAGCCAACTATATGTAGGAGAAGGTGCAGATATAAAGATTCCGTAGAGGGACCAGCAGATGGCGTAATGGTTACGTCGCTGGACTGCCACAGAGTTGACTGTGGTTCATGTTTTGGACCCAGCAGCTTAAAATTCACATGGGGCATGTGCACGTGTGTGCCCAAAATCCTGAAAGGAGAATGGAGGAGAAGGGATTGCAGTATGGCCATTCCCCCCGTCTAAGGGATGATTTCTCACTTTCTGTCTCTCTCTCCCTGTCTCTCTCCAGTGAGCGCATATGCCCTATAGCAAAAATTTCCCTTAAAAGAAAAAAGCTTCTATAGAACACAACAGAGCTAGCAGGTTTGACCCACAGACTTGACAGCTGCCTTGAAGAGACTCAACATTTCCCTGAAGTTCTCAAATTCTGCAGCTATGCTTTGAGCACCGCCAGGAAGCACGGCCAAGCCAAAGGTCAGAATGGCACTTTACCCTGTTTTCAGGGAGCATCAGAGGCACCCGGAGGACTTGCTAAAACACGGAGTGTGGGGCTTCGCCCCCGGGGGGCTGATTCAGTAAGTGTCAGGTGGCTGGAAAGTCTGCACTTCTGACAAACTCCAGGGGATGCAGCGCTCGCAGGGATGGGGCCACATTCTGTGAGCATGAAATTACCATGAACAATGCACAGCGTCATGGAGATGCTGAAACTTGAGGCCATCTCAAGTACTCTCCAGGCCTCCATTGCTTGCACAGCCCACTTCTGCCCAAGTTAAAGAACTCCTATGGAAAGAAACCGGTATCTGGGTAAGCCTAATTATTGTTCTGCTAATTCAGGCAGTTCTGAAAGAGATTGTTGTGAATGTCTTCCTACCTCTGTGTGGTGGAATCTAAGTTCTGACTGATTCATGTAGAAGAAAAAACAAACAAACAAACAAACATTGGAGGAAAATTCCAGGGAGCCAGATACGAAAGCATCGCATGGGAGCAAAGCAAGTTTAGAAAAATATAAAACAGCAAAATGAAGTTTTTAACACGGTTAGCATTCTGCATGTGAGTGAAAAGCTTATGCCAAAGGCCCTTAATCTAGTTTAAGCTGCATTTGCCCTTTAGGACATACATGAAAATTTCAGCACAGGTCATATGGAGAGGTTTGCACGATCGCGGACTGAAAGGTAGACAGTATGCTTTATTCCCAAATGGTTCTCATGCTCACCACTTAAAGGCTAAAAGAGTAACAAGATCACCCATTTGCATGAGATATATCTGACACGGAATATTGCCAACTCTTGAATAAAAGTAAATTAGCCTTTTGAGGCTGGCTCATACAAAAATCATCTTAGTGCTACAGAATAATTCTAAGGTTATTATTCATAATAATACTTAGAGCTTCCATAAGAAAGATTCGAAGACTTCAAATTAAAATATAATGAATAGGTCTAAGCTTCTTCACTAAACACTTGAAAATTAAGACCTACTAGAATGCCAGAAAGGCCTGGTTTTATCCTTTCTTTCAACAACTTTCCTTCCCCACCCTCTTCAGTTTCAAAGGGATGCTGTGTACAAAAAAGCATGAGGAAATACAAAGACCAAGTTGTTTATTATGAATGTCTATTTAATAAGCAGGGTATCCTGCTTAGGATGAGTCTAATGAATAAGATCATTTTAATAACAACCAGGCTACGCATTTCATATCTTGAACTGGTATAGACTAATTATGTGGCTAACTAGACAGATGGTTAAACAAGACACAAAAATTCAAGAGCAAGTTCAAAAATTTGAACTTCTCAGGCCAGCAAATGGCATGGTGGTTAAGGTACTACACACCACATGGTAGACTGTGGTTTCAGTTCCGGAGCCGGAAGCTTGAAAAACACGCTGGGTACATGCGCGTGCATGTCCAAAATCCTGGAGAGGAGAATAGAGAAGGGATTGTGGCATGGCCATCCCACATAGGGGGATGAGTTCTCACTTCCCCCATCTCTTTGTCTCTCTCTGGTGAGAGCACACACCCTATGGCAAAAACTAAATAAATTAAAAAAAAAACAAAACATTGAACTTCCCTTCACCTAGTTAATGTAACTTACTGTGAAAGGTAGCAAGTGACTTGAGTTTGGATACCAGCTCTGTCACTTGGCAGCTGCCCATCTGTAAAGTGAGAGGGCCACATCTACCTCAGCCGACAGATGAGAAGATTACGTGGGATGAATACATGTGAATCCTGGGTACACTATCTCACGTATGACAAACTTGAATGTTATTTCTTTCACTTCCTTCTGATTTTGCTGTGTTGCCATGACTTAGGCAGAAATTCGGCTCCTCTCTCGTCATGCCACAGCATTTTGTTTTAGCTATGGCTCTTGTACAATTATTCTTTGGTTCTTACTAGCAATTGGTGTTTGGGTAGCCTTGGATTCTACAGCAATATCTCTATTAATGGACCAGATTTGTTCTAAAGAAATACTCGATGTCAGAAACTATGAGCAGAGCTAGAAACAATGAACAAACCGACTATAGAACCCTTTTTATTCCTACTCTTGGTCATGAATTCTGTCCTCCACTTGGAGGTGGATGATGTCCCTATGGTGGGAAAACCCCGTCACATCTTGGGGTGTTTCACTGTCAGGAGGCCGTGTCTGCCTAGGCCATGGTTAAGTAGCCTCTCAACCCACTCTTCAATGATCATTTAACCGGAGCCTCAGGAACTGTATCCTTGGATGAAACCAGTATCTTTGGGCCTAGAACTCTTTCTGAAAGCACCATCTTTTTGGAGGGAGCCCAAATAGTGATGAGGAGGCCCACCTTGGACCAGTTAAGATAACTTTGTTATTAGAGCGCTGTCACAGTGAGCTTGCTCTCATGGCTACCATAGAGCTTATATAATAAAGAAATGTGCTATTTATTTATTTAGATAGGGCATGCCAGAGCAGGGGTGGAATGAGAAATTATCCCTCCAGGGGGATGGCTGTGCTGCAATCCCTTCTCCTCCATTCTCCTCTTGGGATTTTGGGCTCCCATACACATGTACCTGGTGTGTTTTTTGTCGTAAGGTCTGAGACTCGAACCATGGAAGCGGCCATGTGGGATCCAGGGCCTTAATCACCATGCCACCTGTTGGGCCCAAATGTATTTTATATGTTGAAATCTTTTTTTCTTTCCTTCCTTCATTTCTTTTTATTTATTTGTCAAAGGGTGCCTATGCTCATCAGAGAGACAGAGAGAGAGAAAGCAAGCATCCCTGTGAGGGATGGTTATTCCGCAACCCCTTCTCCTCCATTTCTCTCTCCCTACAGGATTTTGGGCACACATGCACACGTGCCTGGTGTATTTTTCAAACTGCCAGGTCCAGGACTTGAACCACAAATTGGTCATGGCCATGTGGATCTAGCTGCTTTAAGTCCATGCTGGCCCGGGAATCTTTTCAATTAGAAATGGAGAAGCACCTGAGCAGTGGAAATGGAAAGCGGAGGCACTCACCTGCCCAGGCTGTTCGCAGGCCGTCTGGTACCTGGCCTGTTGGCACAGTTCTTTGACCCGCTCGTATTTGGGCAAGTGATTTGACTGTTGGATATTCTTGCTGGATTCTTCCTTCTTACGTAGAAATTTGCTTTGACAGAAAGGGAAACGTTTCTTAGTGAGAAGTGATCTGAATTACCTTCCCCGAGTTCTGCCTGTTCTTTTTCTTCCTTGTCACATGACTCTGCATTCTTCGAACAGAAGAAACAGATGTTAAGGCTTTATGGGCAGGAGTTCAACATCTGATGAGTCCTTTGTGACATTTATAGGCTGGGAACTATGAGGATGAGAAGTTAGGATAGGAAGGATCATTTCCTCTGAAAAGTATTGATCTTTTTTTCTTTTTCTTTTTTTTTAAAAGGGGTTTTTGTTATAGGGTACATATGTTCGCTGGAGACACACAGGAAAGGCAGAAGAAGAGAAAGTGAGAAACCACACCCCCCAGGGGACATGGCCACACCACAATCCCTTCTCCTCCATTCTTTCCTCAGGATTTCGGTTACACACACACACACTCGGCCTGAGTTTCATGCCACCGGATCCAAGACTTGAACCTCAGTCGACCATGTGAGAGTCCAGCGCCTTAAGCACTACACTGCCTGCTGGCCCTAGAAAGCAATGATGTCAAGACTTGAGCAGGTTTTACCTGCTCTCAAAATTCTTTTTTGTTAAAAACACAATGATTTAAATGCACTTTTTTCTCCCAATTGATGTATAAAGAAAACAAGGCAATGAGCATTACGAATCAAAAGGGGAAACCCAGAAGTGACCATGGAAACAATTACAATGGCATACATTTATATATTTAAAACTATGAAAGGCACAGAAAGAAAAGAAGTAGAAAGTAGGGTGCCAGGCAAGCCTTGGCGACGCCTTAGAGGAGGACTTGGAAAGATGACTGAGAAAGTCAGTCCACTGTTCTGATTAGGCTCCAAGCTAACAAATGCAACAGTAAATTCATACCTATGTAAAGGCTTTGGTCCCGCCTGATGAGAATTTATTCTTTCCAGTTCTGATGCAGCAATAATTACTCTGCTGGCCAGTAGAGACTAAGTAGCAAACTATTCAATCTTGTAACTAGGCTTACAAAATCTGCATGCTTAGTAAACCAAAATAAGGAAGAAAAAAAAAATACCCAGCAGGGACAGCTGCCCAGTAGGACTGATTCCCAGAAGCACCCCAGGAACCAATAATTACCCTCTTTCCACTAGGAATGTATCACGCCAAATTTTGGCCTTCTTGTTTGTTCGAAACCTGAAAGCAAAATAATAATATTTACTGTTGGCATCTGGACGTTTTTCCAAAGGGATCTGTGCTCACAGTTTATTTAAAGAAACACCTTTCACTTCCTGCAGACCATGACTGCGTCTCCATCAATGTGCTATTCACGAACAGCTGAGAAAGGCTCAGCCCAGGGCGAGCCTCATGGCCCAAATCTGTTTGCCTCTACTGTTTTGCAGGTGCCACCTGACTCTGGGTGCCAGCCACAGCTCAGTGTGCTTGAAGGAATATTGACGCACCTGTTACCTGGCTTTTCCAGGTCCAGAAGTTTCAGGACTGACTTGCCGTCCACATCCGGAGGTGTGTCGAGTCCAGCGATATCGAGGATGGTCGGAGCCAGGTCGATATTGAGAACGATCTGTGGGACTCTGCGAGAGGACAGATGGGGATGGCCACAGACCCAGTGTCAATGGAGGGGGGCATTTAGGGCTGCTTGTCTACAGCTGTGACTCACTGGCCTTTGGCTCTGTTCCCCGCTCATTGGTCTCCTAAAGATGGGTGGTAGTTCTGGTGCTGTGGGCGAGCAGGGTTAGCTGCCTCTCCTGGGGGCGGGGCTGGCCTGCTTCATGTCCCTGTGGTCTGACCACACTGCCAGACAAGAGGTGGCTTGATATGTGGTTTCTGTGGCATATGCACACTTTGTTTTAAAGCCTGATAGTCCACAACTCTTCTCTTGCACCAGGTCTTTAAGATCAACATTCTAAAAAGGGACACATGGTTTTCAGAGCTGAAGTCAATCCACTCCACCTACTCCTCCAAACATAAAGCCTTCTAATTATAGATCTGACAACTCCTGAGGTCCTTCTAATGATCTTTTTTTTGGGAGAGAATTTTGCTATAGGGCGCGTGCGCTCGCCAGACAGAGAGAGACATAGAGACAGAAAGCGAGAAATCACCCCCCAGGGGGGATGGTCACGCCACAATCCCTTCTCCTCCATTCCTCCATTCTCCTCTCGGGATCTTGGGCACGCACGCACAAGCACCCGGCGTGAGTTTTAAGCCACCGGGTCCGAGACGCACAAGAGGTGGCTTGATATGTGGTTTCTGTGGCATATGCACACTTTGTTTTAAAGCCTGATAGTCCACAACTCTTCTCTTGCACCAGGTCTTTAAGATCAACATTCTAAAAAGGGACACATGGTTTTCAGAGCTGAAGTCAATCCACTCCACCTACTCCTCCAAACATAAAGCCTTCTAATTATAGATCTGACAACTCCTGAGGTCCTTCTAATGATCTTTTTTTTGGGAGAGAATTTTGCTATAGGGCGCGTGCGCTCGCCAGACAGAGAGAGACATAGAGACAGAAAGCGAGAAATCACCCCCCAGGGGGGATGGTCACGCCACAATCCCTTCTCCTCCATCCCTCCAGTCTCCTCTCGGGATCTTGGGCACGCACGCACAAGCACCCGGCGTGATTTTTAAGCCACCGGGTCCGAGACGCGAACAGCAGTCGACTACGTGGGAGTCCAGCGACATAGCCATTATGCTAACTGCTGGTTCCCCTTCTAATGATCTTAAGGGACATAATAACATTCTTCAAAGAAACCCTTCTTACTCCTATCCCTTTTGTCCCCAGAACGCAGTGTGATGCGGCAGCAGATAAGGCCTAAGGACGTGAATCAGAACATCTGAGTTCTGAGCCTCAGTACTGCCACTCCTGGAATCAGATGCTGAGACAGGCACTTACGCCCTCTGTTGTGCTTCCTCAGCGCCCTACCAGGGGTTCAGAAACAGAGCCCTGAGGCAGCAGTGGTGCAGAGGTAACAGAACAGTCCATGATGCTGGAGCCAGAAGCGAAGGTCCCTGCCTCGTGTCCAGAGGCCTCCCTGAATGTGCCAGGTGCTCTTGTCTGTGCCTCGATCCTGGCTGAGACTGGGAGGAAGGCTGGGGCATGAAAATTCACTGGGAAGGCTTGTCTCCCTCTCTCTTTTATGGAATATGTAAATAAATGAACTTAATAAAAGAAGTAGAATTCTAGTCCTTTAAGACTCTTTTCTTTGAAACAAAAATCGTGCTTTTGAAAGTCTAATTTTCTTTGCAAAAATATAACTTTTATTTTTTGGAGAGGTTTTTGCTATAGGGCATGTGCACTCGCCAGAAAGAGAGAGAGAGAGACAGGGAGACAAAAAGCAAGAAATCACCCCCCAGGGGAGATGGCCACGCCACAATCCCTTCTCCTCCATTCTCTTCTTGGGATCTCGGGCATGCATGCACACGCGCTCAACGTGAGTTTAAGCCACTGGGTCCAGGACTCTAACCACGGTAGACTACATGGGAGTCCAGAGATGTAGCCATTACACTACCTGCTGATCCCCCCCCCCAGAATAACTTTAATGATAGCTTTTAAAAATTAAAAGCCAGACAAGTTGGTGGCTGGATCCCACATGGTGAACTCAATGGTTCAAATCCTGGACCCAGAAACTTCAGAAACCTGCCAGGTACATGTGTGTGCAAGCCCAAAATCCCCAAAGAAGGGAGAAATGGAAAGGAAGGGATTATGGTGTGACCATCTCTGGGGAGGAGGGAGGCGCTCTCTCTCTCTCTCTCTCTCTCTGCCTCTCCCTGCTGAGTGCATAGACCCTCTAGCAAATATTTAAAAAATTAAATCCCAAGAATATGGCATTCGTTATTTTAAAAAGTAACAGTGCAGGTCTGATTCAAAGAAGCTGAGGATAATGTTCCCAAAGATCACGTTCTGCCTGTGTGCCCACGCCAAAAAGACATGGACTCTGGTCGATTTGAGAGAATTGGTCACTGATACAGTTATTTTTCCTTTCTTTTAAAATAGTATCCTCCAGTTAATTTAACATGTGGCAGGGGGAGAAAGTTTTCATCTTCTGAATTGCCAACTTTCACACACCCTTTTCTGCTGTAGATGCAAGGAAACCAGACGCTGAGATTGGTAACTGAATTATCTCAGACGCGCATGAGCTACGGCGGTTGAAGGTTGCACACGGAGAAATACGTACATCGATCCTGGTTCCACGCTTGGACCACGAATAAAGAAAGGCACACGGATGTCAAAGTCGTATGGCATGGATTTCCCCTTGACCAGTCCGAACTGCCCGATATGGTAGCCGTGGTCAGCGGTGTACACGATGTACGTGTTCTCCAGCTCGCCTGTCTCCACGAGCATGTTGTACAGCTGCAACACAACACAGGGACACGTGAGGAGCAGTGTGACGGCACGAGATGACTCAGCAACTTTTCCACGATTACCCCTTCATCATTTTTCCTTTTCTTTATTTTGTTAGTTTGCCAGAGGGTGCATGTGCTTACTGGAGAGAGTGAGAGGGAGAAAATGAGAAGCACATTTCACCCCCGCGGGCCATTTCACGATCCCTTCTCCTGCGTTTCTTTCTGTTCAGGATTTCGAGCATGGGCGTACATGTGCCTGGCATGTTTTTCAAGTGGCTGAGTTGGAACTTGAACCTTGCAGTCAGCCATGTGAGATACAGTCACCTTACACACCATACCACTGGTTGGCCCTTCATTCTTTTTCAAAATTGAGTTGTTTTAATAAGACTGAAAAACAAGAACATTATCCACATGTTCTACGCTTACAATCCTGAAGGAAAAAAGTCACTAACACGATTGAAATGTAACTCTTCTGAATGTGGCTCATTCTCACAGGCTTTTTCACCTTTCAAGGAAAACACACACACACACACAACCTCTGCCAACAAAATTGATAGGTTTTACTTTTATTTATTTATTTTTTGAGAGGTTTTTGCTATAGGGAGTGTGTATTCACTGGAGACACAGAGAGAGACAGAGAGATAGAAAGTGAGAAATCATCCCTGGGGTTGTGGTGGGGTAATAGCCACTCTGCAATCCCTTCTTCTCTAATCTTCTCATGGGATTTTGGGTACGCACACACACGTGCCGGGCATGAATTTTAAGCTACCAGGTCCAGGGCTCGAACTGCAGTTGACTACATTGGAGTCCAATGATGTAACCATCACGTCATCTGCTGGTCCTGGTTTTACTTTAACAAAATCCATTTTTAGGGCCAGCGGATGACATAATGGTTTTGTTACTAGATTCCCTCACGACTGACTATGGTTTGAGTCCTGGACCCAGTGGCTTAAAACTCACACCAGATGTGTGTGCGTGTATGCCTAAGATCCCGGCAGAAGAGCAGAGGAGAAGGGACTGCAGCAGAGCTATCCTACTGGGGCGTGATATCTTGCTTTCCCTCTCATGATCTCTGGAGAGTGGATGAGCCCTAAGGCCAAAACCTCTAAAAAATATCCATTGTTGGGGCCAGCAGATGGCATGGTGGTTAAGGCACTAGACTCCCACATGGCTGACCACAGTTCGAGTCGTGGGCCTGGCGGCTTGCTCTCTCTCTTTTCTTCTCTCTCTCTGTCTCTGCTGAATGAATGCACATACACTGTACAAATTTAAAAAAAAAAAATTAAAAAAAATTAATTTAATTTTAAAGATCCATTGTTAAAGCTAATTTTATTACCATTGCTCTTATATCTGATTATTGAAGGTTAAAAACAGGTTGCCTCTGGGGACCAGTATATGTAATGGTTACGTCACTGAACTCCCACATAGCTGATTGTGGTTCGAGTCCCAGACCCAGAGGCTTAAAACTCACACTGGGCATGTGTGCATGCATGCCCAAAATCCCAAGAGGAAAGTGGAGGAGAAGAGAATGTGGAGTGGCCATCCTCCCTGGGGGCTAATTTCTCGCTTTCTATCTCTCTGTCTCTCTCTCTCTGTCTCTCCAGTGAGTGCACGTGCCCTATAGCAGAAATCTCTCAAAAAGACAAAAAACAAAAACAAAAAACAAAACAAAGACAAAAAACAGCAAAAAAATAGGCTGCCTCCGAAAATTCAGGAATTAAAAACAAATTATATTTCTGGCTTCTTTTAAAAAGTCAGAAGGCCTGCTGATACTTGATCCATACTTCTACACGACAAAAAATAGCTGGAGCTGTGTCGTTGCTGCCTGCTTTACTTTCGAGTACTCCATACTCCCCACCATTCCCTCTTGCCTTATCCTAGACCTGTTTTAGTCATTCACATTATCTGTTTAGTGTGTGGTGGTATTTGGGGATGTGGCCCCTGATTTATGATGTTTCACCTTTTCTCTCCTCTTTATCACTAGCTCCTTAAGAGCCCCACCTGGAGAAGACAGAGTGGGAACATGATAACGGAGGGATGCTGAGGTCATTAAACACACTGTCTCTTAAGATGATGCCAGGTAACAAAACACAACAAAACAAAACAAAGCGAAGAGAAACAACCACAACTAGCAAGAACGGGTCTACACAGAGGAAAATGGAACCAAAGCCTGTCACCAAGGTGCTTACCCTCTCCACAGAATCATCCACTGACATCAAAGTCTGGAGGCGTTTGCGCTGTAGAATGTTCGTAAATTCCATGTGGATGGGCAGCATGGGCCCCGTGTACTGCATGATCCAGTGTTTGTCCATATTCGGTGCATAGTTATAACTAGGAGTTCTGAAAATAGCCAGAAAGGAATCTTACTACGTAGTTTTTACTTAGACATTTAGGGAGACATCTGAAGTTAAAGGTTATAAAATAATCATGTAGGATAGAGAGTTTAGACACCGTTAAATTTGTCTCTCTCTAGTGTCATCTGTTTGTGTGTGTAGGGAGATCTGAAGTCTTTACCGCCTCACACAGCATATTCCCTGATGGAATATAAATCCCAACTTACAAAACCGAGACTGGAGCTCAGCCTGTCATTAGTACAAGTTCCTTTGGGTTCGCTGAATAAAATGTGCAAAAACACATCAAGATGGTTACGGTTATGTTACAGATCTACAGATAGAACTCAGTAATGGAGAAGGGATGTTCCCACGGTGATGGTAACTCGTAAACATGTTATTGCTAATTGGGCTATTAACTACCGTCACAAACATGTTATGTGGAATGATGATGAAACACAATGTCGACACATTTTTCCCCTTGAATTTATTAGAGCATTTTATTGATTGCTTATATAGCTAGTCTCTGCGAGCTTTTCATTCTTCACATTGTATATGGTCGCCATGAATTTAACTGTATTTGCTGGAATTACAACCAAGTCTGTGTGCAATCTATATATTTACCAGTAAAGCCATTCATCTACTAAACAAGTGCAGGGTATAATTTTTATTAAGCACAGGGAAATGACGTCTATTGTTGTAGGATAGATTAGTGTGAGCCCATATTTAATCTATCATAGGGATCCAAGTTGTGTTGCATGGATTCCACTGGGGACTCACAAATTATGTCTTCTTTTTGAAGTCTTACCAACTCGCTCAACCATCAGCTGCTACCACCTTTTGCCCCCAAACTGCTAAAGCGATTCTCACGTGGATAATGACTTGTTTCTATGTGAACTCTCCATCTGAAGAGCTGACTTCACTCAGATCTTTTCCTTAAATATTATTAAGCACCTAAAGGTTGTTTCATAATAAAAATTTAAGTGACAGCTAGCTGGTGGCACAGCAGTAAAACAACTTTCTGCAATGCTGGACCCTCATGGGACGGTCCCCAGAGTGCATCCTGGGGCCTCTCTGTACACACTGAGTGCCCATGTGTGCCCATGAGTTGGGTTGGCTCAGGCTGGGAGTAGACTGTGGCATGAAGACCCTCTTGGGGGTCCCTGTCTCTCTTCTTCTCTGTCTCTCATGGAAAAAATAAATGAATAAACTAAATAAAAAAAACCGGACCTACAAACCATAGTGAGTACTTATCATGATATCAGGTATTATGTGAACTGTCGACTCATGTAATTATCTCAGCTTTCTGTTTTGGAAAACAGGTTTATTATCTCCATGTTATAGCTGAGAAACCAAGGCTTAGCAAAGTTAAATAACTTCTCCAGAACAACCAAGTTAATAGGTGGCAGAATCTGGATTTCAAAGGCCATTTACTTGAAGAAAATAAATGAAAAATGAAGTGAAGGACACTTCCTATATCTGAAATTGCTTTTAATATGATCTATACCTTTTTTAAAAAAAGAATTATTTTTATTTAACTTTATTTAAATTTGACCAGAGAGAGACAGAGAGAGGGAGAGAGAGACAGGAAAAGTGAGAAAGCAAGCTGCCAGGTTCGGGACTTGAACTATGGTTGGCCATGTGGGAGTCCAGTGCCCTTAACCACCACACTATCTGCTGGCCCCAATATGATCTACACTTAACAAATTAGCCAGTCTCACAGAACAAGCATCAGTCAAAGGTGGTAGAGAAATCTGACTGCTGTTCTCTGTCCTGAGGAGGAGCCTATCAGTGAAAGACGCTGGATCACGTGGGTGGGGGGGGGTGGGGGGACTCTGCTCCGTGATTTATGCACATCCTCAGGGACATGATCTGAGAAAGGCACCATCAGATGATTTCATCCTTGCGCAAACATGGCAGCACATACTTACATAAACCTAGATGGTAGAACCTACTCCACACCTAGGCTACACGGTACAACCTATACACGCTTCCGGCGGGACCACCGTCGCTGACTGACATGTTACCATGGGACGCACGACTGTGCTATGAAGCTAGAGAAACAATCAGTCGCTGTGAGCCCAGTCGTTTCAGCAGTCCCGACCGAGGACTCCACTGACTCCGAGGGGGTGTGACTACGGGGATTCTTCCATGCACATCAAGACACATACTGTCACCTGTTATTAGAGACTTTCTTCCACTGTGGCACTCTCTTTCAATAGTAGAAAATACTAGTTTGGTAGCATTGGCTTTCTTAGTGAGCAGTTTTCCTGCTGGTCAGTATGGATGCTGGGTTCCCAGTGGAAGTGGCACAGCACAAATGTCAATATAACATTTAGCTTAGAAGACACTGTCTCTGAAAGTGTACAAGTTATGCACAGGAGTGTAAGTTCAAAGAATCAGATTTATGGAGCAGAAAAGAGGGTGTGGCCCAAATTTGTTCATCTATAAATGGGGCTAATAGCTTTCTTAAAAAGCTGTTTCGAGGGACCAGCAGTGGGCATGATGGCTATGTCGCTGGACTCCCATGTGGTCAACTGCGGTTCGAGTCTCAGACTCAGTGGCTTAAATTCATGCTGGGCGCATGTGCGTGTGTGCCCAAGATTTCGAGAGGAGAATGGAGGAGAAGGGATTGCGGTGGGGCCATCCCCGGGGGGGGGGGGAGGTGATTTCTTACTTTCTGTCTCTCTGTCTCTCTCTGTCTTTCTGGCGAGCACTTGCGCTTTATAACAAAATCCTCTCCAAAAAAAAAAAAAAAAAAAGCTGTTTCAGGAGCTAGCAGGTGGCATGGTAGTTGAGTCGCTGGACTCCCACATGGCCAACTCCAGTTTGAGTCCCACACCTGGAAGCTTAAAAACCACGCTGGCTGTGTGTGTACACGTATGCCCGAAATCCCAGGAGGAGAATGGAAGAGAAGGGACTCTGACATTGCCATGTTCCCTGGGGGCTGATTTCTCACTTTTCTTCTCATTGTCTCTCTCTATCACTCTCCAGTAAGTGTATGTACTCTATGGCAAAAATCTAAAATAAAGACAATAAAAGAAAAAGAGCTGCTTTGAGGAAGAGTAATACATATATAGACCCATCATTTTAAAATGCCCAGAATCGATGCATATGTGTTTCTTCAACAAGCCAAAAAATAAATACTTTCCATGTAAGTATTATGACTTAAAAACAAAAACAAAAACACCTCATAGTATTAAAAAGCATACTCTTTGGGACCAGCAGTTGGTGTAATGGCTATGTTGCTGGACTCCCATGTAGTCGACCACGGTTTGAGTCCTGGACCTAGCGGTTTAAACTCATGCCGGGTGTGTGCATGCGTGCACAAGATCCTGAGAGGAGAATGGAGGAGAAGGGATTGTGATGTGGCCATCCTCCCTGGGAGGTGATTTCTCGCTTTCTGTCTCTATGTCTCTCTCTGTCTTTCTGGTAAGCACACGTGCCCTATAGCAAAAATCTCTCCACAAAAATAAATAAATAAATAAATAAATAAATAAATAAATAAATAAATAAATAGTATGCTCTTCAGGTAACACCTGCCATCTGTTTTAAGACAAACTTTCAATCTAAACTTTTTTCCACTTATCGAGTAAATGATTCAGGAACTACTAGCCCCATATTTGGCCTGAAAGGGCTCCCTGTATCTATCAGTCAATTGCAGTCAGAATGAAAGTGGGGAAGGATTTAAACCCGTGTTTCTTATTCTTCACACAGCATGCTGCTGCGTTACAAACAGGATTAGATTAAGAGGTTGAGGGTGGGAGGCTTCTAAAGCCCCTCGTTTTTCACCCATGGGGGTAGTCTAAGGTCAGAGAAATTTAGTGAGTTGGTTGTGAAAGGTCACCTAACCATTTATGGCTACGTGCCTTGAAAAAGAATACAGCTATAAAAGATTACTCGGGGCTCTTTCTAATACCTAAGCATTGTCTTCTTACTGCCTTTGATGTTGAGTCGGCGTAATTTAAAAATAAACCTAGCTGACTTTTTTTAAAACCACAAAACCTCAACACAAATAAAAATTACAATAAGGACCTGAAATGCAGGCTCACAGTAGGCAAATTATATCTTCCACTAGTTACCTTGATGTGCTTGGCAAGGCTCCACCTCACTTTGAGGAAGAGGGAAGGTTGCGGCAAATTACAAGCCTCAAATTGGACTCCCGGATTTACAGAATGACATATGTGAGATCTGGCTTGTATTAAAAGGGAGAGTGCAGGGCCTGTTGTCAAGCTGTCCTCTCCCCTCCCCCTTTGCTTTTCTTAATTTCTGGGTATGGGAGATGACCCTCAGCTCTGGGATGAAATCCCAGGTGGGATCCCAGTGGGAGACCGGGAGGGGTATGCATTTGCCTTTTAAAGGAAGACAGGCTGCCATGCTTCCCACAGAACAGCAGCTGTTCCGAGGCCTGCAGGTGGAAGGTCGGGGTCTCTGGAATTGACAATGCTGTTGAAAGGTGATCTTTTGCCAAAGACCTGTGGTTGCCTCCTGTTGAGGTCTGCCAAATTCCTCGAAGATGCTGCCTGCTGTCCCCTGGTGATAATTAAGGCTTGCTTCCCTAACCATGGACTGACTTAAAATGATTCAAACAGGCCTGGAGCTGTCAGTTGGAACAAAAGCCACTGAAAGAAGCAGGTAACTGTTTTAGGAAAGAGTAGAAAACCACATATTCAATGATGCCAGTGTGTTTCGGAAGCAGACCCAAAGTCTCATCCCTGTCTGTTACTAACTTCATATGGGATCTTGGATGGCCTTTTTTGGTATTAGATCAGTGTCTTCATCTATGTAATGGGAATAACAACTTTACAGAGTTCTTGTGAGGGCTAGAAGAGATTTCTGTGACTTTGAGAGAGCAAACTCGGGGACCACATCACACCCACAGTGGCAGGCAGCTGGAAAAGGGGATTCATGATTTGATTGCTGTGGTAACCTTGGGGAGTTGGCAGGGCTCCGAACAAGAAAACATGTGGGGGGCAGCTCTCAACCAGGGCTCCTCCTGGGACCCCACAG